GTCATTTACTAATCGCCGCTTGCTTGCCTGCATTCCGAATGAAGGTGGCGATTTTGTTTGTGGTGGACGCGGTGCAACTCTGCGGCGAATGGATTCTGTTAAAAATGAACAATCGGTTCGTGAGGCTTGCATGGCGAAGCATACAGCGACATTTACAAGTTTTACAAATTGTGAAAGCTTCAAAAATGCGCGTCCGCATCCAAAACCATAGTAACAACAAGTGAACCTGCCACAACTAGGACTGTGCGTACTTTCACGCCGCACCCCACGTGCCGCCACCCGTCCCGGCTTTTCAGCTGTAACACAAGAACCACTCTAATAACTTAAGTACTTGACGGAAGCTTTCTTAGCAAAAGGCGGTGCGACTTTGCTGTCCCTTTCCACTTGCGCCACAACAGTCGCGCCCCGCCACACCCCAGCAACGAATATTCACATCCATTTCCGTCGTTCTTTCATCGAAATCAAGTTAGTACTTTTGCGTGGACCGCATTTGCTGAATGGATCGCAGGCCCACGAAAGCTCCCAAGATAACGCCTTCACCGTTTTGCCTGGTCAGCCGGGTATTCCGTTGTTGAATTTCCATGGCTCGCATTGTATCCCTTTATTGTGGGCATGTGCCTTCGTGCTCACCCCGCTGAAGAAGTTTGGTCTCAAGCAAATAACCTGGCAACTTAATAAAGAAATCAGTGCTGGACTCGTCCGAAAGCCCAGGGGCGACCCAACTTCTACTGGCCGCGCCTGCCATGAGTTTCGAGAGCTCATGGGATTCCGAAAATCACCTGGCCCGTTCTTCCGAACGACCTCTTTACTTGATGGAGCCTCCATTCAAGCACACGCTCCCAGTTTGTTTGGCAAGAAATGTCTTTGGCCATCTTTGCGGTGTGTATATGGAGTTGTCTGCATGTTGACGGCTTAGTCTCTTGTGCGTCGCTTGGCGCTGGAAGTCCAGCAAGGTTGAACACTTATTCGAGGCAATCCTCGAGGCGCGCAAGTGGCCATGGGAAGTCAGTGCGACTGCGCCATGGGCATCTGCAGGCCACAGAAGAGGTCAATCAATCGGCTGTATCATGTCCCAAGCGATATATTTCGAAGCACTTTGAATTGAACTAGCGCTCTTTCTGCCCAAGGGTCCCTTGAAAAATAGAAAGATTTGTGAAAATTTCACAATGCGTGATTTCGTTTTCAAGCACTTGCATTACGTATGATTTTAAGGACAGCCAGCAAATACAAAACTCTGTTTGTTGGCGAGCATGCTGGCAATTCCATACTTCACCGTTGGGTGCGAATACAGAAACATAAACGATCGTGCGAGGTCTCCGTGTCACGGAGTTCCACACATTCATATTCGAGTGCATATTACTGCTCACATTCATTGCAGATTCATAACAATGTGCATAATAACATACATAATCGAACATGCGCAAAGGGAAGAAGAAAACTCAGAGGCGATGAGTGCACTACTTTCCACAAATAGTACAGTAGTTTAACATTTATTATACACTCACAGATCCGATGGCTGCAGCTTGCTGAAATGCCCTGTAGAGCAAATCCACATTTTTGTGCTACGTTCACAGCGAGCGCAAAATAGTCGCGACGATGCCAGCGGCAAGTGTTGTCCAAAGTACTGTAGTCGCGATGCATGCAAGGGTGTATTTGTCATGGCACTGTAATAAGTAACGTAAATAAGTAAAGTTTTATCTGCTCGTAATCGAATTTTGCAACTTTGGAAAATCATAGTCAGTGCTAATAATTTCGCGCCCATGCAAAGACAACGGAATTTCCGGTTTACCCACCTCGAAGTTATTTCAGGCACCATTGCAGCAAGTTGTTGCGAATATGGAGTTCTCTGTTCATGTCTTATGGATGTTCATACAATGAATAAAAGAAGCGCCTTCTCCGTGCGATTTTGTGTTTCTTCGTGCCATTTCATGCATGCTAGGGACATACTCCTCAATTGACAGCGTATTCAGCGGAAGAGGCCCATTGTCCACCTTCATCGTGAGAGGTCGCCCAGCGTTATATTGTTCATTAATCCAACCCTTTCCACACTCGTTGGTGTTGGCAAAGCATGTTCTTTCGCTATCAAACAGGAAGGCTTAACCTCGGGATCAAATTCCTGAGCCGAGGGTATTGTATGTGCTGCAGGCTAAATGTGGTCTTATGCGTTGCCATGGCTGTGAATCTTGGACACCTGCCACAGCGACAACCACTGGTAGAAAACGGCATGTTTGCGATGCCAACTGCGATGCCATTTTGACATCAAAATGGCATCGCAAGCATGTTGTTTTCTACTAGTGAACCTTGTTCCTGATATTTTCTATTTCAACATTTTGGAAGTTTTAATAAATTAGACGTACCGATACTTGATATTTCTGATGTTTCAGTGCAAAGGAGACTTAGAAAAACTGAATTGCACCTTGTTCAAGATGCGGGAGAACTTTTCAGAATGCACTGAGCGAGTGTCCTTCCAGAGTCAAGCAGGCTGTGAATTACTTCAAAAAATTTGCCAAAAATTAACCCAAGTACCTTTGCATGTATTGAAGCCAAGCGACTACTCGAAGCATCGAAAACGCCACACTTGGGAACCGGTGATAGATAATAGATATAATAGATAATCAGATGGCGGGGCCTGTACCGTTATACCTCGAAGACAGTTATTTTACTTCACCTTTCCAGTTTGCAATGGCAATGCCTCATTGCAGTAACCCGTGAACATAACTCAGACCTGTGTGTCCGACACAGAGCCTCCTTTCAAGTTGAATCGGAAGTGACACACCAGGTGGAATGGTGTTCAGTGCTAACGCAAGGGCGCTCAGCTTGACCACTGACTGGTCAAACGGATTGATACAACCACAACCCCACTGTCATGGTCATGCAATTTGTATGATCGAAGCATGTGCTATAATCGTTATCGCTGAAAGATAGGCCGCACTCCATTCCAGATTGAGCACAGTTTCTTGTACGACAAATCATCTCTCATGCATAAGAGAGCATATGCTGGGATACATGCCCGAACATCAGCAAGAGAATCAACCCTGGCAATGCTTACAACTTCCCAACTAGCACCACAGAGACTGCATCCTCCAAGATCGCTCGCAAGTAGTGCTTTCCCATCCGCCCAAGAATTCCCAAAACCACCCCCAGAGTGGATCAGATATTTCCCCACATCCCGTCCCCAAACAGTTGAAGTGTCAGCGCCCAAGCGGAAGAAAAATCCGCGGGCTTAGATCATTATTTTACTAACATGGCCACGGTGCTGGCTGGTGTCACGAGCCGCTGTGAGCGCGTCACACGCGCGACGGTCAGGGCACCCCATTGTCCACTCTGCGCAACCTCGCATGCAAGATGTGTGCGCACACAATCCCCTCCCCCTCACGCCGAGCACAAACGTGACATTCTGTTTGGCGTTTGTTTCTTCTAATAATTTATTTGGTGCAGGTAGACATCAGGCGAACATTCCAACTGTTCAAGAACATCTCCGAAGGGTTTCCCTCAACTGGACGGGGTTCAACTCTCAGTTCCAAATTTCGAGCCTAACCAAGACACACCGATTCCAAGAAGTCGGCCAGAAATAGCTAATCAAGATTTCTTGCGATAAATAGAATCCGTAGACTGGAGAAATGAGAAGCGAATTGTGGAGGTCAGCTTGGATTCGGTGACGGTCAACTCGAAGGTGATCCACCACGCGGCAGCTGCCGGCTCATTGGCCAAGCGCAAATGACCCAGAGTCGATCCAGCATGTCCGGGTAATCCAAGGTGCCACCTCTGTGTGCGTTAGCTATACGAGTGATGCAGTATCCCATCATCGGCCTGCCGCTACCTGTAGGTAGCTACTTGTCTCATCTTCTTTTCAACACCCACCAGCCGATCTGATTCGTCACAAGGCCTCGCCCTCCGCTGAATATCCTGTGCGGTCGGCCCGAAGGGCCAACCCTCAGCATGTAGCGGCCAAATAAAGCCGGCAGATTTTGGCAGCAAATCATCGTTTCTTACCATCGCCATCGCCGCTGCCATCTTCACTGTCATCGCCACGGCCATGGAGCGCCGCACATGGGGAGGCGCGGGAAATGGAAGTACCAGCTTGCATCGTAGTGTCCCTCTGACGCGGACTGCGCCTCCGTAGACGAATCCGAATGGTGGCCACCACAATGGCCATTGTCGCAATTGTGCAGACCACTTTGCTGCCCTAGACATCAATTCAGAAATGTTGGAGGGCATTACTGCCTCACATTAATTAGGACAGTATAATACTATTGTAATAGTATGCGCACATAGCATGCATGTTTACGCACATACTTTCTGTTGCCCCTTGCACGGGAACGTGATTGCTTTGTTTTCTGGTATTGAGAAATGCACTGCTAGAATTCCAAGGTTTCGACGGCATTATGTGTGTATTGAGATGAAAGATTTGATAACTCAAATCAGCGGTGCGCGACCGGCTAAGGCGTAACCTATTACACCGGGATCAAGAATAAAATGCACTGCATGCAGACTTGTGGAGTCACATCCTTCTGAACATGCAACCGCAATCATATCGTAACCCCTTTCCTCCATCAAACACAGTCAAAGCCACCAGGGGAAAGAAGGAACTTGTTCAAGCATAACTACTACGACAAAGAATACGTTGATCTTCAATGCACGCTGTTCACAACGTTCCCTCGAATCACCGCAGCAGGAAAACCAATGAACGCATCCGCACTAAGCAACCGCCCGATCTGATTCCCAGCTAATGCATGCTGCATCGCAGGTGCACGGCTCGTCAATCATTACATCAAATATCAACAATCAGGGGATGCAAGGTATCGTTAAGTACGGGAAATGCCAGAAGCTTGCCACTACAGTACCACTAGAAGCGCAACCAGTACGCCCACCACAAGCAATTGAGCAGCAACTGCCATTGTTAATCATGAACGATCAGCACGATGTCCGTGCGGATTGGGCACTGCTGGCAATTTTGCGAGAGGTGGAAGTTTGAGCCAATGATCGAGCGCGTGCCGCACCTGCATCAGGCGGTTCTCGTGAGCCGAAGTCGTGTCCCTGACCCATCCCATCACATCGTGGGTCAGCACGTAGCTGGCACAGCCGCATGCGTCCGTCGTGGCAATGGCGACAACGAGGTCGTGCTGGTGCAAGCCATCCTTAATGGGATCCTCCTGGCCGGGGGGGAAGTCCAGCAGCATCAGTGGAGCTCCCGGGGCTGCGGCGCGGCACAACGCACAGGCTGAGCGCTCCTACTCGCACATCGGAGGGCTGACAAAAAAATCCGCACTTGATTTGTTCTGTTATAGGACTGCTGAGCTGTGGGCAAACATTCACTAGCAGAAAACGGCATGTTTGCGATGCCAACTGCGATGCCATTTTGACACAAAGTGATGCCGTCACAATGATTGCTATGGCATAAAAGCAGCTGCGATGGCGTCAATTTGTGTCAAATGGCGTCCCAATTGGCATCGCAAAAAGGCTGTTTTCTGCTAGTGATTGCTGCGAGATAATCACAATACGTGGGGTGCGGTGAGGTGAGAATGCAACCAAACCGAGCTGCTGTAAAATGCAGCGGTTGCTCAACACAGTTGACGAGAGAGCTGCAGGTCAATTGCCTTTTTCGCTGTGGATTCCAAACTGCCCAGCAGGTTCAGGGCCAAATCACTGTGCGCCAAATCTTGAGCCCACTCTGCCAGCAAAGTTGCGAAGAGAAGGATGCCAATTTTCACAAACCCCTGTTTGCTGCTATTTCTGGTGAGGCTCAAGACGGCCCACACTCTATCCATTCAGGAGAGCGGCTTCTGATTGGTTACCGCTATCAGCAGTTCGGTTATTGTTAATAGAGACTCATCATGCTAGACAGTGCATGAATGCTTGTGCGCATAATAGCAAATGCAGATATTTTGCACACAGATTTCAATTGTCTACTTTGTGCATTTCTGCTGGGAAGTACCAGTATCAGACAGGAGTTCACAATTTTTATGGCTCATATTGCACGCCAGTTGATGAACAACAAGCTAGTGAACGAAAAACAAGCGCAAACAGAGGCAATGCTGTAATGCACGTCTGTGCATAGTGTCCAGCAACTCCACAGCAACCCTACCAAATTTGATTTTTGCGGTGCCATAAAAGGAGTCCGTCCATTCATATACTAATTCACAATAGCAGTTCAACAGAGGGAAGATGACAACCATGCAAGTGCATGATATCGTGGCAAGCACTCGCCAGCCAACGCAACGTCATCTGCGCCGCAGGTATCTTCAGTCCTCGGCTCCCATCCCCGAGCCCACCCCTGGCGTCCATTACAAACACTGAAACGGTGTTCCGTGCCCTTACGAAGTCATGGCGCAGGCATACCTAACTTCGACGGGCATTCGAAGTTGTCGCATTGCCCCCTTTCCGTGGAGTTCCCCCTTTCAATGGCCAGTTGGACTTCGGTGTTGTTCACGCGGTGAAGGTAAATGGATTCCGACCCAATCGATGCTGCCAGCGCGTACAGCGCCTCATCCAGCGGGATGTCAGCCATGCCGAAGGAGAAGACAGGGATTGTCGCCGGTGTGGGTGCGGGGAGCTCCACTAGTGCGACGCCGTAATTCGGGTGAAGATGCCGTCCGAACAAGCGCCACTTATTGATCCAGTGGCTCTGCCCAAACACAGGGACAATGTGATGCGCCTCTTCTCGCGCCCCCAATCACATTCACTGCCACACGTACGTTTAATCCTTGAAAGGATCGGTTGGGGCATCGTGACGGGGACGCTGCAAGTTTAGAAGCATTTGCGCATAGTACAGGTTGGCATGTGGACACGCACGCATGGCACCATGCATTGCCAATTACGACGCATTCAATTCAAAACACAATCGTATGTGCCTCAAAAATACTGCAATCCACACGGAGAGCCACATTCATTCAACTTATATGATGACAGGAAAATGTCTACAACAGCCCAACGGGCTGCACCTGCATTACCTGAAGCTTAATTAGTTTCCAGCCTCCAGATCCATTCAGCTCTGCCACGTGAACGTGGGGATTGGGTCCAAGAGAGTTGAAGCAATTCTTGGAGGTCAGCGCAAACAGTGCAGCGACAGAAATTCCCAGGCAGAGTTTTTTGGTGCTGCGCGACTCGAACACAACTACGGACGGACCTCGTGTTCCTGGTGCAACCGCGACGTTCCCCTGCATAAAACAAAAGGAGCCTGAGCGGATGGCTCGGTTATTGTCGAAAGACATTTCGTAAGTCCAGTAAATATGAATTTGACATACTTTGGATTCATGATTTATGCGGAAATTCGACACAATTTCATTCAGATAGTTGGGCTTGTCCAAACGACGGTGCGTACATTATTGCAAGTGCCTCCTCCCGTGCATATGCGTGAGAGGCATGCAGATTGTTGAGCAGTTCAGTTAGTTTAAAGGTGGGGCGGATAAAACCGTAGGTTCTGACTCCAGCACACTACATGCTTGGGCTTTCTTTTCCAGTAGCATCTTTGGCTGTCTGCTTCCTGAACCGAATGAGTGCGTCGTCCAAATGCAGCCCCTCGCATGTACGTTCTGTTTGCTCGCTGCTTATTTAATCAGCATTTTAAATGGGCATCAAAATCGACAAGCCTCTTTATTAAGAACAGTACTGGCTAGCGATCGGCCACAGGCACTGGCCAAAACTGCATTTGGTCGCGGTTCCAAAGTCTGTGTTTGTGTTGGCGATTACTGATACGTTGTCCGTATCTAATACTGGTACTGCTGTTTTCAGTACTTACTTTAGATAGTGTTGATAGTAAGTTAGCTGTATTGACTTATGCATAATATTGCAGGTGTCGTAACATGAACTGGTGGAGCATTTCATGAAAGCTTTGCCAGCATACCCGCGCCAATGAGGCGCCCTTCAGAGGTTGGTGTTTATGAATTCTCCCGGCTTAAGATATATTATTCAAAGCATACTGGGAATCCATTTGATGGCATGTTTCATCTTTTCCTGACACATGGCGGATGTCTATGAATCCTTACTTGTCGCCTCGAATTCATGCAGCACACTTTGAAATACCGTCGATACTCATTTATGACTCATTCAGTTGTGCATTTGAATGGTCGCACAGTCAGGCACAAAGTGTCTTGAACTGTGTTGCCAGAATGTGCGCGTCAATTTTCCTTGATGACTGCGTTTGGTTCGTGACGGTCGCTGCGGAAAACCCCACAATTGTGTAATAAATTCAAAAACAGAAATAAATAAAAAATAATTTGCAATTGAAACAGCACATATCTGAAGATCAAAATGAATCTCCAGTCAGTGCTTCATCCACCGCATGACATGCTCATATGCTGTTCCTTATTTTGCCGGGACGCACCTCATCCACGCGCCCCTCTGGCCCCTGTGTGCTCTCAAGAGATGTGTCCCCTGTCGAGGCTTCACTGGGACCCCCCCACCAGTGGGTCGGTGGCCATGTTGCGACCGCCAGAATGGCCACAGCGGCCGCGAATCGCAGACATGGCAGCAGCTCCATCCCCGCAGCTCCTGTAAATCAACAGCTGTTCAGAAGAAGTCACAAAGGCAATGCGAAGTGGGAGAAGGCGCCGGGGACTTACGTTACAAAGAAAGAAACGTAGAGGTGTGCAGAACGTTTGGGCATTACTGGATGCCACGCACAGAGCGCTTCAGGATGACAAAATGATCTGATACCGTAGTGTGTACAGTATTACATGGTGGGCTACAGGCGGGCCGGAACGGTGTGCTGGCAAGTGCGCATTTTGGCGAGTGGCCAACGGGTGCCCAGGCATTTCTAGCCAGCGCGGCCAATTGTGAATGGTATGGTGGGGAATGGAATGGCGTGAGTGGTGCCGCATTTCGCAACTATGTGCTGAGAGCACAATTTGTAATCGAAGAGCACACTCTCGTGAATGGCGCTTTTTAACTCACTGGAATGTCCTCGTTACTCTAACGCGACTTTTGCTGTTGAAACATGCAATTGCACTCCCGCACTGTTCGTGGTGCACCACCCCATTTGTCAGTCAGCCGCTGATGCTGTCATGACCCTAAAAACCAGTCAATACTCAGCTGCTGACGTGGCAAGGGCATCAATTTCACTGTAAAGTACTTAAGCAACAGTTATCACACGATGAAGCTTTGATTCGCAGTGTGTGGACAACATCTTGGGGCGAAGTGGGTGCAAGTCTTCCCCCCAGCGTGCCACTGAACTACAACTTAATGACGCTTGGGGCGATGGCCGCTTACTCACATGCCTGGCTGCCGGCCCCTACCTTGGCAAGCAATGTATGCTTATACTGTAGTAGAAATCATAACATCATGGAATCTGTTGTACATTGTAGATGCCTGGACATTGGCCCGCACACTAGGGAAAAAAGGGCCAATTAACACGTGTTCAAACGTGTACAAAATTTTCGGGTACGGGTTATTTCCTTGTTTTGACATGCAGAACACTGATGAAATGCATATATATGTGTGTTCTCAAAAAGTGCTATTTGGCCCTTTCATTGCTAGTGGCAAGGACTCCAGCAACGTGCAACGCCGTGCTGGCAATTAGTCAGCCAGGCAATGGACCGCGGCGACCAGATGACTGTTCACTCAAACAGGCCTTCCGTCAGTCAGGCCGCCAGCCCAGCCAGCCAATCCTCCCCAGTCAGTCACGGATCACCCAACAGCACCAACCTGGAGCACCAACGGCCCTGTGCTTGCTGAAATAATATTACTGCTTGCACCAAATCGGTGACTGCTTGCACCAGATCAGTGACTTCTTGCACCAAATCATGTGCGCACTATGTCCTAACTTCAGTTTTAGGTTAAGCTTTAGTTTTAGGGTGAGTTTTAGGGTTAGGGTAGTTTTAAGGTTAGGTGGTTTTAGGTTTTAGGTTAGGTCTTAGATTAGGTTAGTTTTGGAGGGATTTGGTGCAAGCGAGGGACCTGACCACCAGGTTGATTTGGTGGCTGTGTCAAATTTAGGGGTGGGGGCATTTGCATTTGACACGATTTTTTTCTGCCTCGTGATGGGGCCGACGTTTGTCGTCAGTCACCGGTTTGGTGCAGACAGTCACCGATTTGGTGCAGCCAGTAATTGTATGCCGTGCCTGCCTGTCCCATCACGTCATGCGCAAAGATACTCACATAACGCTGACGCCCGCACGCCCCACCGCTGTGTGGTTCGACCAGCGCCCTCACTGCGCCCAAGGGGCGTTCGAGGGTGTTGCAACGAAGCAACACCTTTCACAAACCACCCACGTGGAACGCGGCCTGTCTCAGCCTCAGATCGCGTGGGTACCCCGTCCGGTGCGGTGGGTACCCCAATCAGCGGGCAGGCCTGCCGCTGCTGCTGTCTGGTCGGAGTCACGTGGGGGGCCTTCTGATTCGTGCAGTACCCGTCTCCCTGTCATGCCGGGAGGCGCCTGGCGGGTTGCGTGCGGGCGCAAGGGAGGCTGCAGGTGGGCGGGGCAAAACC